TGGTAGCGTTTGGGGAGGTGAGAGGTGGCTGAGAATAGATAAGAGTCAGCTAAGATGCTGGCAGTGACTTGGAGGGTGAAAAAAAAAAAAAAGCCACAATTATTTTCTTTCCTTGGGAGAGATTCTGTTACTTGCAGCTGTAATAGCTGCTTCCTGGCAGCTGTTGTGGAAAGGTTTCAAATATAAAAAAGACTCGGCCCTTTCGGTGGGCTTCGGGACTTGCTCCCAGCCCTTGCCCAACCAGCTTCCTAGGGACTGATTTCTTTCATTATTAAACCATGCACGTTCAGTAGCAGCAAAACCTCTGACACAGACGGGATGAGCAGTTGTCCTTGTTTGGAAGAAGCAGCAGCTACAGTGGCCTGGAGCAAGGGGACAGCTGTCCCAGGTCACTCGCAGCACAAATTAAATGGCCTGACTCAGAGGCAGGAAAGGGAGAAATGGTAGGAGGAGTAGAGCTCCGGCATTTCCTTCCCAGGTGTGCACACTGGATCCTAAATAAACAGTGGTCTACGATGATGTGATTTAAACAGAGAGATTGGTCTTCTATAGCCAAAGGCTTCTTGGCCCAGAAATGGAGGACCTAAGTGCCCAGTGCTGTGCTAATTAACGTTTTCTGGGAGTTTTGCTAGTCCCTCGCAGCTCTGCACTTTGGCAGCAGCTCGGAGGTGGCCGTGTGCCGGTAGGTCAGGTGCTGGCTGCCAGGTTGCTTTCCTTCCTTCAAGGGCAGCTTTGTGCCAGCTGTGGGGTGGGAGCAGAGCCCGCGGGGTTTGTGGGCTGGCACCTAGAAGTGGCTGCGGCTGCCGCTCTTCCCTGTCCTGCTGGGTGGTGGCAGCCGCCCCCGTGCTGGAAGATGCTGGTGGCTGCGGTCTGGTCCAACGGCCGGGGTGGTCCCCAAGAGTCACCCAAGGGTGATGGTTTTTGTCCCCACGTCCAGGGAGCGATCGCAGGGCTGTCCCCTGGGCTGCTGCAGGCTTGGGTCCCTTGCATCAGAATACCGAGAGCCCAGCTGGGGCTGGCAGGGAGCGAGCAATGAGGTCACCAGGTAAAAATAAGGTCGAGCACGGTGGTTGTGGGGGAGGATCCTCCTGAGGTGGCAGGAGCTGCTCCGAGGAGCGGGGTTGGATGCCAGCCGGTCCCAACACCAAACAGCCTCCCTGGGTCCTGCCCAGGGGCCCACGCTGTGCTCCCTGTGCACATCTCCACCCAGCTCCCCCGCTGTACCCAGTTCCCTGGCTGCGTCACACTGGGACAGGCGGGATTGCTGCCACCGTTTGCCCCAAGACTGAGCGCTGCTGCCGGGAGTTCCCCGAATGATTCGTGCGTGAGCTGAGACATCTCTGCTAGAAAGCACCACTGCTATTAATTGTAAAATTGGCAGTAATGGCCACGTTGCTACTGGCTTTGCTGAGCTGCTCCAGGGCTTATCCACCCTTTCTCTTAAAACCTATCCCTTATTTCTGATCTAACCCTGCCAAGGGGACTCTTGCTCTGCATCTGGCGCTGGTGCAGGCTCTGATGGAGGAGGCCTGGGGCAGACACGTCCAGGTTTTTGGGACGAGTGACTTCTGTACAGCTGCTTGCTCTCTGCATGAGTTACCCAGGGTTAGTCTTGCTCAGTGGGAGGGGGCTCCACGCATGCTGCAATTACTGTAAATTTAAGTCAAATGATTGTGGGAGCAACTTTGGTGTAGAGTTGAAGGCTTTAAATGGGGCAAATCTTGCGGGAGAAGTAACACCTTTTATTAGGTGGAGAAAACAAATTAGCATTCAGGTACACAAGCCCTTCTTGACATTATTGCTACTGTTATTATCCCATATTGGTGCTGTTAGAAATGAGGACATTGCATTAGAGGGGAAGCACATTATGCAAGTGTTTAGACCTGCTGGTAACTGCTCTCTGCTGACAGGTATTTGCTTAATGATATGTTGGAGTGAAAGCCAGCAGCAAGGACAAGCATTAGAGGGAGCTGGGAGTGCTGAGCTCTGCCGGGTCTGGCCTTGCCTGGACCTCCTGGAGCCACCCGACACCTCCCACCAAGAGGGGAGAAAGGACCTGCCTGGAGGTTTCTCTCACCGTGGTTTTAAGAACACCCCCAAATCCCTTCTTCTCGACTTCCAGCAGGGTCCTGACCATAGCACATTCCCAGACAGAGTCCCCAGTGCCCTCCCTCATCCCAGGGCTGGTCCCTCTGGATGTCTGCAGCCTCCAGAGCTGTCCTGGCTTGTTTACAAAGGGTCTTCCTGCTCCTGCCCGTGCTGGAGGCAATGCCTCTTGCAGGTACACATGGGACTGGTCATGTTCCCCGTGTCATGTGCTGTCCATGGCGGGTGGCAGAGCCAGTTTTTCTGCTCTGGAAGTGGGACTGGGGAGGAGACGGCAACACTCAAATACCCAGATCCTAGGTAGCTGCCAGCCAGGCATCGAGGAGGCCACTTGTCGTCTTCAGCTCCAGGTAAGTCACTTTCCTGACTCCCTTGGGTCATCAAGGGGATTTACAGACTTGTGTATCAGTTTTACAGGCTGGAGAAGCAGAGCAGGGGGGCAGGGTGAAGCAGGGGGTGCAGCGGGAGCATCCCCCTCATGGCTCACGCTCCGTGTGCTCTTGGGGATGGCAATTGGGCGTCATGCCTGAGCCTCGCGGGAAGGACTTTGGTCCCCTTGGTGAGATGGGAGCTGGCACGAACACTCTCCTGTAAGCCTGTCGTGCCTGGGGTGGTGGTGGTGGTGGGGGTATTACCCAGGGTATTGCATCTGGTGGGGTATGAACACACAGGTTTACTTCATTAGCCAGAGGTCTGATCCACCTGTACCTCGCGCTTTGCTCGGCCATGGGGGACAGTTGCAGCCTGTCAGTGGGGACCATAGAGCTGGTCGCTGGGTTTTGTTGGTTTTCCTGCCTGGGGTTTAGGGAACCAGCTCATCTGAGGCAGGGAAACCTGCTTGCCCAAAACACCTGGTGGCCCAGGCTCTGAAAGAACAGGCAAAACTGGATCTGCTGGTCTGGGATGGTAAAAAGCTGAGCTTTGGCAGCCAGGATCTGAGCCACTACCCACGGAGGGGGGGGGCTGCACAGGGTGCTGGGTGGCACCTCCCCACACCCCCAGACAGGAGTGTGGCAGAGCCCCGGGGCAGAGGAGCTGGACCCAGCTCTTGGAAATCAGCTGGGTTGGTCCCCAGGGACCGGGCTAGTGGTGCGGTGGGGGATTGAAGGGTTGTAACCCCCCCCCCGGTGGCATTTCTTAGGGCGCGTTGGGGCAGCGCTGCCCCTTCTCAGTCCCAGCCACTGGGCTTTGGTCGGGTTGCCCATCTCGTAGTGCAAAGTTGAGGTCCACCTCTGGGTACGCCGTGCCTTTCCTATCTGCTCAGCCCGGGGAAGGGAAGGCACAAGGCTGGGGCAGCCCCTGTGGATTTGGGCTGGGCTCACACCCTGGGACCTGCGGAGCAGCCTTGGTGAGCAGGACCTGGGGTCAGGGCACCAGCTATACCTTCTCCTGTACCTTCCCAGGGGCTGCCTTTTCTTTTGTTAATGTTTGATTATTTTTAATGATTTTAGATTAAAATGTAATTATTTTCAATTAGTAGTTGCACTTCTTAATTACGGAGATGAATTAGATTACTCTTCATTATTAATTAGATTGTAACTTTGCACTGATTACACCTTTTATCAGCCATTTCCCACACTCCTGCCCTCTCTGCCCAACCTGCCTCTCCCCTGGTGCTGCCCCAAACCCCACGGCTTCCCTCTGCCCTGCAACATCCCCGGGGTTTTAAAACCTGTCTAGAAAATACAAATCAATGTTATCAGCTCAGAGGCTGTGACTTGCTCTTTTAAAAGCCTAAATACCAACCAGATTATGTCATTTTGTGGCTAAAAAAAAAAAAAATAATTAAAAAAAAATGTAAAAGAAAGCATTAATATTCTGCCTCCCTCTGTCAGTGGCTGGAAAAGAAACTGTTTTCTAATTACCGGCTGTGGCAGGGGAATGACCCTGCTCTTCCCTGCGAGCAGAAGGGGCCCGATCCCTCGCCCCTGCTGCCTTCCCTTGCCCTGGTTTGCTGTTTGTGTACGAGAAGGAACGTCTGACCTCCTGGGCTATTTCATGGACTTTATTTGGTCCTGCTATTTCTAAAGGAAGCTGTCTTCTTTCTTTTCTTCTCTTTTCTTTATCTGTCACCTTTCAGACACCTAATCAATGCTCAGAGTTTTCTTGCCATTGCTCTCTGCTTCTCTTCTGCTCGCTGCTGTTTCTGTCTCCCCCCTTGCCATCACCCTGTACCCCGGGGGGAGGTGTCCTTTCTGCCAGGGCTTCCTGGGAGCCCCAGTGCCTACTCTCTATTGGTTCATCCTCATTTAATCTGAAATATTTCTGTAATTTGCACATGCTCTCAGGGGGTTTAAGGCATCCCCCTGCACATTTGACCTGAGGTTTCTCTCTCTGCTGCCATCACTCTCCCCTTGCTGCTTCCATGGATGGAGGGCAATGGGTGCTGCCTGGGTGGGCACAAGGTCTGGTCCTTTTTTTTTTTTTTTTTTTTTTTTTTTTTTTTTTTTTTTTTTTTTTGTGGATGCCACAGACTACTTTACCTCATTCCCTGCTGTTTTTGGGGGTAGGAAGTTCACAGTTCCCCTTCTCTCATGAAGAAGAGAAAACTGAATGGTGGGGTCCAGGGAGATATTTTCATCCCTGAAAAGCTCAACCTACTCCACTCTCCAGTTGTTCCTTCAGGTCCTCTTTGTGCAGTAGGTGTGACAGTCTCGTGCCCCAGAGCTCTCTGGCTTCAGTGAAATGTCTACGATCCTGAAATGTGAGTGTTTGGTGTGAACCCAGGGGGACCTGCTAGATTTGCATGTGCTGGATGCTGTGTGCTGGCAGCAACCCCCATTCTGTGCCCTGTTGTAGGGTTTGGACGGGAAGATAAGGAGAGAGAAGAGAAGGAAAAGGACAAGGAAGAAGGGAAGAAAGAAGAGGAGGAGGAAAAAGCTGAGGGAGAAAAAGAGAAGGACAAAAAGAAGAGAAAGAAAAAGGAAGAGGAAAAGGTAGGGGAATGATGGAGTTTTCTGCAGATCAGCTGCTGAACAATTTCCCAGAGGGTTTCCAGCCACAAAGTCCCCAGAGTGGTGCTCAGGGTGAGCCCAGCACTTCCCAAACTATCAGATGCTGGGGGGCCATGCTGGGGACCCCCTGGACCAACTGTGCCACTGGCTGTGCGTCGTCTGTAGGGCACCCAGCACCCTGAGCACCTGCTGCCCAGCACGCAGCGGGATGGGGCCAGCTCTTGCAAGGAGGATCAGTGTCCCAGGGGCAGGCAGGCAGCTATGGGGCAGGGCCACCTCTGCAGGTGAGTATGGTGCAGCAGGGACATGAATGATGCAGAGTTCCCAGGTTTCTGCTGAGCCCTGGGGAGAAGGATGGTTGGCACAATCAGGCATGGGTGGCATACAGGGTTTGTAGGGTGTCAGAAAGCACCAGCTCCAACTGATTTACATCCTAGCTCTGAAGGGAAGTTGTGTCAGATCTGTAGCAACCCAACACCTCTGGTGGATGGAGCTACACCAACCACAGCCTAGAAATCACATTGCATACATGGCTTTTCCACTGAGATACAGCTCTCTCTTTGCTCCCAATATTCCTAGTTAGTTCTCCTTCCTTTTCCCTCTATTTCAGCCCAGATGAGATACTGCTGTGGACAGGTGATGCTGTCTGCACTGCACACACCCCCTGAATCCTTCCTCTTGGCTCTGGAGTTCTCTGTGGGTCCATGGGCACACATGGTTCCACGGCATCACCTTTGGTGGAAAGCCTGGCTCAAAATAGGTAGCCACAAGACCAGACATCTTTGACTCAAGGCTATAGCTCGAACAGCAAGCGGAGTGCCAGGGACCCCAGTGATGATTGTCCTTCTCTCTTTGCCCTTCCAGGGAGATGGGGATGAAGACAGGAGGAGCAGCAGCAGTTCTGACAGTGACTCGGAGGAGGTAACCATGATACCAGCTCTGTGCTGGGGCCTGGCTGCCCCACTGCACACCAGCCCTGTGGGGTTTGGACCTACAAACCCCTGTGTGGGTGCTGGCTATGGGTGCTATCAAACATCCAGAGGTACCAGGTGATGGGACACAAAACACCCAGCACTCCCCTCATGTACTGTCCCTTTTCTTTTTGTTCCTGTCCCAGGACCACGGCAGTGGCAAGGATGAGAAGGAAGACAAAGATTAACCTTTCCATGCTGGAGCGGCAGTGCGCGTCCTGGGCACACCGAGGAGGTGGGGATGCAAATGGCACCTTGTGCTGGAGGGGCCCTGGGCCACTTTTAGCCAAATAAAGGTGTTGGTGGACTCCAAAGAGAAAGGCTATTTATTCATCCAGCCACATTGCCAACCCAGTGCCATCTGTCCCTCCTGAGAAGGAAACAGCCAAGGAAAGGCAATAGGTAGGGATCTGGGTGAACAAGTTTTGTTCAAGACCATGAAAGAGTCTGGAGAGAAATCCAGGGGCTTTGTCTGTCTGGCTTTGTGTAGTCCCCCAAAATTAGGTAGTACCAATATCCTCCCTGTCCCCTTCATCCCCCTTGCTATGGGATGGAGCAGCCTGGCTGGGGACAGATGGGCTGTGCAAAAGGCGGCTCCAGTCGCCTGGGGCTGTGCTGAGCTGTTACAACTGACTGTGATTTCAAATTTATCAAAAACATATGAAAATCAGTTAGAGGGAAAAAAAAAAAAGAAAAGAAAAATATACCAAAACCAAACCATCAAAAATCTCGCTTTCTGCAGTGCTGCTCCCAGAGCAAGGGGGCTGGAACCGGGCTCAGAGCCAGGAAAAATACGGGGGAAAAAAACAGGAAAAATGAGCTGGCACCGCCATCTACCGGGGATGGGATTTGTGGCAGCGGGTCCCCGGGTTTCGTAACCGCTCGGAGCTTTTGTAAGGTTTTGTAAGGCTTTGTACGGCTTCTGCGGAGCGGCCGGGAGGGCAGCCGGGCGGCTCGGGGTGCTGCGGGGTCCAGCCCCGCAGCGAGAAGGGGTCTTGGACTGTGCCCTTAAAAACAGTGCCAGCACCCCAACCCACCCGCTGCTGCTGCTGGCAGTCATTGGCCAAACCCCATAGTCTCACCATCAATAGAAACTTCAGTGCAAACTTGAGCACAGGCTCTCCCTGCTGCATCACTGCCTTGATTTGCCTTCCTCAAGGAGTCAATTTTTAAGGGTATTTCTCCTGAGTAATGCAGATTTCAGACAAACTCGAGTATAAGAGTCAACACTGTGGAAGATTTTACTTGAAACCACAGAACGCAGCTTTAGATGTTGTTTTAATGGAACAAATGCAGCTGGCTCTTGTATAATCACAGCAAACAACAGGAAAGATGATGAGGAATGTTGCCTTAATTATCCAGCACAAAGATTAAAGAGAAGACACAAAGACCAGGAAAAAAAACAACCCCAAAAGCTAAAGTGGGTTTCAGTGTGCTGGTTTGGCTTCAGAAGGGAAAGGCTGAGTCTAAGTGCATTATTGCTCTGTGAACAAGGGTGCGTTAATGTAAAATAAGCCCTTTTTAAAGCAGTATTTTACATATTTTACTTTCCCATCCATGCAAGTATGTGGGACTCTTGCACAAGACACAACCTACTTCCAAATAGTGTATGGCATTGCAGCATTTTACAGTCCCCTCAGGACACGCTCCTGCAGGATGGGAATTCTCTGTATCCGGACATGAAAAGGGGAGGCCCTGCCTTTGATTTTTAAGTAAAAGGTTGGAAACTTTTCCAGCATGCTATGGCAGACTCTATTTTCTGAGGTCAAGCATGCCCGTAGATGCTCAGTTGGAGCTGAGAGGTGTTGCATCTCACTAGAGTGAGCTTCTGCTTTTTAGTTGCTGACAGATAGTTCACCTAACAAGCTAAAAGTCCTAAAATTGTCACCTGCACCTTGTGCCCCAGCTCCTAAAGTGGGTGAAGCTTGCAAACCACTGTCTGCAGCTGACCCCACCAACATGTCCTCACACTGCCCCAGATCTCAGCAGCTCCACGTCCTCAGAGCCAGCGCGGGGTACGCCCTGCACTGCTGGGTGATGGCGAGGGCCAAGCCAGGAGAAGTCTTACTGTTTGCTGTTTGTGTTTTACAATCCCTGCTTCAGGCCACTGAGCTAAGCTCTGTGCATATATAACATGTGCAGCCAGACCCCTGTGGCACAAGAGCAAAAAGCAAAACACGCCCAGGGACCGGCTGTGCGAGCATCCAGGCATCTCCTTCAGCAGCCGAGAGCTCCTCTGTCCCCACACATAGCTCACTCCCCTCTGCACCTGTGTGCTGCCTTGATTTGAACTGGACAAATTTCACCAGAAAGTTGCGGGGCTGAAAACTATTTCAAATTATACGGTGTCCCTAAGTCCTCGTTACATCTCGGCCCTGGCCTGAAGCCAGGTGATGTGAATGGGAGTCTAGCATAAGCGTTCACGCCAGCCACGTGGATTAGAGCTCTAAAAACATTTAGTGGAGGAGACAAAAAGCAGGTGGAACATTTGGATTTTGGGGATGCTGAAGACCCTCAGCCACACGGGGCTGTCCTGCAGGAGACATGGAGAGCTGGGTGTCTCCCAGCACGACCTCGGTGAACTGGGACGGGTGCTTGCCCATGGACGTGACAACCAGCAGCTTCCCAAGCACTGCTGGGCATGAGGTCTGACTTCATTGGGGTGTTTAACCACCTCATTTGCTTGAAGCATCTGCATGGTTCAATTAGGGGCTCCTTGGAGCTGCTGCGCCTTCAGCGGGCTGGGAGAGAGCACGGACAGAGCTGTGCCAAACGTCCATCATGTCAGGCTCTGGAGGGGTGGAGTTGGAAAAGGAGATCAGCAAAAGGAACTGGCAGCTGTGGAGTTACTTAAGCACGTCTTATTTACACACATTTAGTCCTCTTTATATAATAACCTCGTCTGGTCCTGGGGGAGCAGGAGGGGTTGTGCTGCCCCTGCTCACAGCATCTGGAGGTACCTCCAGGGACCCTGCATGGCATGCAGCTGTCTGGGGCCTCATAGCAGCAGAGATGACAAGAGAACTTAGGCGTGGAGAAAAAATTGATTTCCATACCATTTCATTCAGAGATGCCCCCAGACGAAGGCATTTTTCTGTAAATGTCAACAATTTCAGAACAGAAAGGTTAGACCTGTATTTTGCAATTAAATTTTTTGTCTTGCATCTAGGGGCTTTATTACATATAGTATCCTATTAGGGAAACAAGCCTCTCTAAGGTAGAGATCAAAAAGAAATCTTTCCTCTGTTCCCAAGTGACCTTCTTCATGGAATATTTCTAGCTGCTTTTTCATTCCATTAAAAAATGGAAACAGTAAGAAATCCTGACTTTCCCAGAAAAGCTGATTCCTGCAGCCCTGCTTATGATCTGCTAGTCTCTGCAGAGCACCGGGCAGAGGTTTCCTATGAAACAACTCTTTTGCTTTTGCACTGAATAATAAGAAAAGCAAAACCCAAACAGAACTTGAATCTTGCAAGAGAAGGGTGTTTTGGAAAGTCGAATCCCTGCTTCTGCTCCTGCTCCCTGCAGAGCACTCACACTTGTTCCTCTCTGATACATCCTTCTCCAACTTGTCCCTTCATTCAGAAAATGTGTAAATTAAGACTTTTTGCTATGTTAATTATCAGCTAAGAGTTATAACAGAACTTTATTCACTGAACTTCTTGGGATTCATTTTCATAAAAATGTCTCTAAGGATACACAACTTTCACAGCACCCTTCTCTCCCCTGCAAACCATTCTAGGGCTTCTGCATTTGCTCTTTCAGAAGAGCAGAGTGGGCTCTTTGCTCCCCAAACTTCACTGCAATACATTCCTAAAATCCACAAATAAATGGTGCCAGGCTTCTTGTGAAGGAAAACCTGCAATTTGCTCCAGCAGATCCACCAAGACAAGTTTCTGGGTGACAGATCTTCTGCCGAGTACTAACAACTTGACCTCTTTAAAAGCTGTGACGTCTGCGCGTTATGAAAGGGCGCGTTGGTGGCGGGGGCGATGACTCACTTAACCAAACACAATTCACCTGCCGTCCAAAGTGCAGCGAGAGGTGGAGGCAAAACAGCCTGTGAAAAGAAAACACACAGCCAGAAATAATCATCTGCTCTTTGATCAGAAACCTCTGCCCAAGCCACCACCACTGTAGCCAGCCAGGGAGCCCACAAGCAGCTATTTATAACTGTGGTAGCGACACAGCCTTGCTCATCCTGCCTGAAATCCAGTCCAGTGCCTGTGTTTAGGGCTTCACACGGGCTGGATGTGGGGAAGGGGGGCTTCAGGAAGACCCTGAGCAGCCCCTTGCATTGCTCCCCAAGTCTTCAAGGTGCTTCGTTCTCCTCAATGGTCAGACACAGGTCTTAGCTGGAATTTGAACCACTGGATTTGCTAGAGCTCTTTTGTCCTCACAAGGAAGGACACTGAATTATCAGGCCAGTAGTGGTGGAGATGCTGGAGCTGAAGGAATAAAGACCAGGGCAGAGGATGAGGAAGCTACACACAAAAGCTTATCTGAAAAGCATCTGTACAGGAGCAAACACCAAGAACAGAGAGATGGGGAAAGATCTGCAGCCTCCTGGGCAGTGCAGCTGGGCAAGCGCTCACCCAGAAGCTCTTGACCACTGGAGAAGGGAGTATTCATGGAGGGGATACTCAGCTGCAGGACCTCACAGCTTGCTGTGCTTGCCCTGCGCTCAGGCAACCCCACTGGCACCAGCAGATTCGCTCCCAGTGGGTGCCCTGTGAAGGGGAGCTGGGCTCCTCTGCCAATTAGCACCCCCCTGTGACCCATTAAGGCATGGGATTAGTGGGACAAGCTGGACCCTGGGCGTGACCTGACCATGACAGGACAGAGGCATCACTGCAGACCAGGCTCTGCCATCTGCAGAGCCCACCCGCTGCCACTTCCAGCCTGCTTTGTCAAAGAGAAAAGGCAGCACTGGGTCCCTGCCAGCCCTGCTGGCATCTGTGTCAGGTGGGTGGCAGCTAAAGAGAAAAGTAAAAAAAAGGAAGGAACTAGGGAGGCGGCATATACTGGCTTCTTGCTGGGGCAAGCAGCCAAAGCCACAGGGGCTGGGGAATGAGTGGGGCAGGGCTGCCTGGCAGGTCCCTGAGCTGCAGTGATGGGCCACCACAGCATCACTCCTGACCACACGTCCCAGGTCAGGCATGTGGACACACAGCAGCTTCCAAAACTGGTAACTTTTGTCTGACCCTGCAGTAACAATTGATTATAAATCGGCTCTCCCCATGCAGAAGATGAAGTGAGTGATGTGACCTCCGGGTCTGACCAACTAGGATGCAGCTCCCCGTGGACACCAACCCCCTTGGAAGTGGTAGAGCTTGCTGCAGTGTAAAGGTGGAGTCATGTCCTCAGGGAGTGGGTTCCTTATGGATTTTCCTCCTCTAATCACTTGGTTATGTTATCCATACCCATATACACTCTAGGATGAGATGGTGCTGAACAAGCCATGCTGACTTTGGGCCCCTCCATGGGATCTCCTACAGATGGAGAATCTACAGCTGTCCTTGAAACATCAGTGAAACAATTGCAAAGCATCAAGGCAAGCTTACAGCACCCTGCACTGCAGACCTTGGTCTTGACACCCAACCTAGGGCTTCCGTCTGGATAATGGGGACAATTCTGACCTTGCTTTTAGCTGTACTCCCTTTGCAGGTGTATGTGGCTCATACATGACCAACCATGGAAAAAGACATCTCCATGCATTTTATGTGGGACTTGCTTCTAAGACTGAGTGATAATGTTCTGCCAACATCTTTGCTAATATATTTGGTCCCAAAGAAGTAAAATGAACCAGATATAGATCTGGGCTCTCCCCTTGTGACTCTCCAGTTTCCAGGAGTTCAGGCATAAGCCCAGTTATGTGAGCAATGAGAGAATGTTACATCGCGGCTCTGTGTCCCGCCAATCCATGTGATAGTCAACTCGTTTCTCTAGGAATGATGATGCCTCAGGCAAAGCCTGTATGACTCAGAAGGAAAGCTATTAAAGCTTTCTTTAAAGGAAAATATTAAGTTTTCTTTAATTCCCCAACACTGTTTATATCTGATCCTCCTTTCTGTGAGACTCAGGGCCTCTCTGAGCTCTCAAGCAGCAGTTGCAGGACCCAGGAACAATACCATGTAATTTATATGATTGTTCCCTGCCCAGCGCCTAGTCAGCACAGTGCAGACCTCGAATACCAAACTTCAAGGAGCAGTGTGGCAATCTGCTTGCCTCTGCCTGAGAGAAAACCAGGCATGGAGCAGCTCCCCTCATTGCATACAGAGACGTGAAAGAAAAGGTGCTTGTTACAAAAGACAAGCTGTGACTGCAGATGAAGAGTGTCCCACACCGTCTGCTTTCACTTCCTTTTGCTTCAGTTCCCAGGACTGGCTTTGTGGCAAATGGAGAAACCTGGCTGTTGAATAACATCCTGGATCTAGAAATACTGTGATGCAAAGAAAGCAAAAATTCCAGGAAGCTGATGTGTTTGTTGACAGGCTGGGAGGGGTATGATGCAAGTAACTCCCTGCATGTTATTTGCACGTACCGAGGTGTGAAAATAATTCCTTAGGCCAACTCTCAAGGCTTGCAGACAAGCTGGGATCCAGGCGCACTGCTGCTGAAAGTGTGCTGTAAACCATGGGGGCACGAGTGAGTCTGCCCAAATGCTGAGGCTGGATTTGGCCCTGGCTCTCCCTGATCACCCAGTGGGCTGCACTGGCTCTTATACGTTGGTGCCCCCACCAGCCTTTGCTGATGCCAATGCTCCTCCTCCTCAGCTGGGATGCTGACACTTTCCTCCTTCCACTGCTCTTGAAACAGGGAAACTTGTTTTACCTCTGTGCAACAGGACTTTTGGGTCTGATGGTGACAGCCTCATCTGCTCGGGAGGAGCAGGGATAGCTGTGTGTAAAAGGATCATGACATTCAGGGTGCATATTCCTGTCTGGCAAGTGCTTGTGGTGCCTTTGAAGACACCCTAAGGAGCACACAGGTCTCTGTACAAAAAAAGGCACTACTAGGAAGGTACTGTCACCTCTGAGTCACCCCTTAATCCCTAATGTGTCAAAATCAAATGTCAGTGCTTGCAATAAATATTTATGCACTAAAAATGAGCACACATAGCCGGTGAGAAACCCCTGATGCCCGTGTTGCACTGTGAACAGTCTGGACACATTAATGAGGCTGTACTGGAGCTGGAACACAAGCGGTGCATGTGGCTGGGAGCCAGAGGAGGAGTTGGCTTCCCCCGCAGCAACACCTGGAACTCCTCACCCTGCACTGGCCCTGGGCTGTTTCCCACCTTTAAAGTGGAAAAAAGAAAATATTATTAAAAAAAAATCCTATTGCACTTTGCAAATAGTTCCTAAACACAGTGTGATCTGTTCTGCATTATGCAAAATGTGAAGTCCTCATCTGGCCAGGAGAACAGTGAGCATTAAGCATGTAAAGCTTTTTAAATATTTGGTGTTTTTTTTTTTTTTTTTTTTTTTTTTTTCCAGTTATGTACTGAGTCAGCACAAATACACCAGTGACAAGTGAAAGCATTTGGAGTCCAGAACCAGCTCAGCTCTGGACGGAATGAAGAAAACAAATTGTTCTTGCACTGGTGCTAATGAAGCCTGGTTTGCAATGGACTCACGTGTCGTAGTTGATTGATTTTTAACTGCGTTATGCAAAGGCAGTGGCACATCCCAGCTGCTTACGGGGTGCTGGAGAGCCTGCACATATGAGAATGGTTGTGGAGTGAATCAGGACGTGAGGAAAAGAGTGAGGCTGGTCCTTGGGAACAGCCCGGTGTCTCCTGGAGGAGCTGGCTGGGGTGATGAAAGATACTCTGCTCCTCACCGGGTACCAGATGCCTGTGGTAGAGGGCTGCTGCTCCCAAGCTGAGATACACAAACAGGTTATGGGAACACTTTTCAAGCCCATCACTGCAAAGGTTTCCATGTCTAAGATCATCCTTATTTCACAGCTCCAAAGCCATGAACGTGTCCTTCTTGAGGGGGTAAGACTGGTGAGGACTCCTGGGTGATAATCTTTTGTGTTAGCTGGTTTAGTTTGTTTGGTGGAAAAACTAGCCGTGGTGAGAACTAAATCATGAGAGGACAGTGTCCGGTGTGAATGAGCCTTGTTCATCTGAGAAATGCCCATGGGAGAACAGCTGGGGGAAGTGATGTGGTAGGTCCCTCGGGGAGGGCAACCAAAGACTGGTCTTGTGGATGGGGAACATGGAAAATGTTCCCTGTTAGGCAGAATCCCTGACAGACTTATAATGCTCCCGGGATGACTGCTGTCCCTAATACCACACTCAGGAAGTGTTTGGGGATGTGCTGCTAAGCAGGGCCTGGGATTTCTCCAGTCTGAAGGGATCACTTAAGAAGATAACGGAGGAAGCAGCAAAGCCTTCCAAGCCCACATAACATACTTAGTCGATGAGCTTTTAAAACCACCCATGAGCTGTTAAATGTAATCACAGTAGATTTTGAAACTAAACCTGCTCTGCAGCCCAAACCTCTGCCAGCCACTCCCTTAGTGGGGAATGGGTTTCACCAGCACTCACATCCTACCCGTGACCTCCCTCCCTGAGCATCCCTTCCAGTGCGTGCATAGGTTCAGTTTGTTTTTGGGGACACACAAAAGAGCCCTTGTGGAATGCTCATCACCCTTATATAAAGTCTGATCTACTAAGTTCCAGAGTTGCCAGATTTCAGCTGTTTTTTTCCCAGCACCTGCTATGCAAGACCTGCCAGCCCCTTGCTGTATGACTGCGTGGCAGGGGAATGCATCTCCTTTGGGATACAGAGCCCATTCTGGGGGTCCATGAGTGGGAAGGAGACCATCCCCATACAGAGTCTGAACTCGTTCAATTCTGGATAAATAGAGAATCTGTGGGAGATGCACTTTCCCATCTCCATTGGAGGGACAGCCCTTTCCCTCAGAATATCCTGCCATGATGGGTCTGCACGGTGGAGTCTGCAAAGGGGCACCTGCTGCACCCTAGCCTCACCCCAGCCTTGCTTTGGAGAGCCTCAGCGAGCTCAGGCATGCCGAATGCTGGGCTGATCCTGAGCACCCTAGGTGTCCAGTGCCTCAGCCGCTCTGGAGCATCCACCCTCCTGTCCCCATCCCAGAGCACTCTGCGTTCCCCAGGCCTTGTGCCCCAGCCCTGCTCCGCAGCACCCCAGATACCCCACTATGGGCTGGCTCCAAAGTGCCCTGGGCTCCACTCTGGGCCCCCACCAAAACATCCCGCAGCACTTTGATCCTGCTTCAGCGTGCCCTAGATCCCCCCGGGGACCTTGAACCCCAGCTGCTCCAGGAGACTTCTCCAGCACCCTCCCCGCACAGCTTCACACCCGGGTGCCCCAACTTGTACCCCGCACCCCGGCCCCACAACACCCCACCCTCATCGCGGCTACGGCGGGGGGAGGGTCGGCACCGGAGCGCCTCAGCACCCTCCGGGGCCGGACCCCCCACCGGGCCCACCCCTCTACATCCCTCCCCGAGCCCCCAGGACCGCCGGCTCCGTTACGAAACGCGGCCGGGGCGGGGCGGGGCGGGGCCCCGGCAGCCAATGGGGCCCCGGCAGCTCCGCCACCGGCGTCCCCCGCCGGTTCAGCCCGGGGAGGTCCTGCCCCGGCGGGACGGGACGGGACGGGACGGGACGGGACGGGACGGGACGAGCCGCAGCCCGACACCGGGCCGGGCCGGGCCGGGGGGGCGGGAGCCGCGGGGAGGATGGGCCGAACCGGGCGGAGCGGAGCGGGGCTTTGCGCGGGGTCCCGGGGGAGACGGGGTGTGTGCGGACACCGGGCAGCTCCCCCTCGTCAGCTGCGATGAGCCACGGTCCCACCAGCCCGTCCTCCCCACCCCGGGGGGGGAGCCCTGTCCGGCAGCCCCTCAGCCCCGGGAGCGGGGGTTTGGACATGCTGCGCTGCCCCTCCTGCCTCCTCCTCCTCTGGGAGCCGGTGACCGTGTCCTGCGGTCACTCCTTCTGCAAGCCGTGCCTCGGGGGGGCCGTGCCCTCCCGCTGCCCCCTCTGCCACGAGAGGCTGAAGCTGTTGGGCGTCGGGGCGGCGAGGTGCAACGTGGTGCTCTGTGGCCTCCTGGAGAAAAGCGTGGAGCGGGAGGGCCGGCTGGCCTGGCTGGCAGCACGCATCCGGGACCATCTCACCCGTGGGGACGCGCGGGAAGCGCTCAGGCTGGCTCAGAAAGGGGTCGAGCTGGGTAAGCACCGCCGGGCCCAGGGGGGGCTGGTGGGGCGGGTTGGGGGTGGGGATGCTGGGTGCGGGGGGCCAACCCGACAGCTGAGACGAGGATGCTCAGGCTGTGCCGTCGGGGCGGGTGGGTACCAACGTGGGTCACTTTGTGGCAGCACCTCGGTGCCCTCTGAGCCTGCACGGTCCAGAGCTAGGAGACCGGGGAAGCTGGAAGTGTTGAGAAAGGCAGAGCTAGTAGGAATGGGGAGGGGGGATCCAGCTGCTGGGCATTTCTCCCGTGTTTGCAGGTGTCCCGGGGTGCTGGGAGGGGACGGGTGGCTGGGCAAGCCCTGCTGCTCATCCTGGCTGCAAGGGCGACAGGCAGGGCAGGGGACACAGCCAGCATCCCATCAACCACATGCTTCTGGTGTTAGCAAGTGGCCGGAGAGGAAAGAGCAGCAAAGAGCTTCTTGCATCTTGCCACCTGGCAATATTTCAGGGTCAGAGGAAGAGCTCTGCCCGGGGGGGGATGGCCATTATGTAAAGTGGTTGGAATTTTTCCAGTCTGGGACAGACACGTCCTCACCCCCAGAGCCTGGCGAGGACAGAGCCTTGGCCGAGCTCCTGCACTAGCCCCATAGTGCAGGGCACCCCCCCACCACCCCCCGGCCCCCTTCTGCAACTGGCTCTGGCGAGACGTTTGCCTGCAGGGTCAGGATTGGGCCCGGGGCGGGGGGGTTGATCTGCTTTAATGTGTGGCTGTAAGTGGATTTATTGGAGAGTAATGCTTAAATAAAAGGAGTTATACAATGTGTCTGGAGCAGGGGGTTGGGGAGGCGGAGGCAGAAGGTACTTTCTCCACCGGCGTTTCTATGACAGCAGCCAGCTCTTCTCCCGTGGCGCAGACACTTATTCATTGCCCGCTGCGAGACAAGTGCCAGAGGTTCAGGGTATGCCTGGAACCAAAGGGCTGAGCGGGCTGGCTGATCCTGGTGTTGGCAGCAGAAAGCAGGTGCCTTTATGCAACCTCCCGAGACGTCCGTCTCATTCCCTGCACACTCGTCTCTCAGCGCAAATGCGCGTGCACAGTTCTCTGGTACTGTTTTCCTTATTGCTAGGCTTTTGTCAGATTGGGGTGTACAATTATATACCTGGTTGAAAAGCCTTGGTGAGTATAGTATAAAGAGAAAACATTGCAAGCTCTGTCCTCGGTCTTCCCTGCACACTCTGTTCCCTGAAGGACAGGGGAAGTCCGGCTTAGGGCAATGAGGAAATTGCAATCAATCACAGCTGCAGCTCCTGTGAACCTGCACTTGCTGGTGCTGCTCAGGCTCAGCCATGTGAGCGCTGCTTTCAGGACATGTTTTCCAACTCCTGCAGCTATCAGCCCACTTTCAGGATGCATGACTTCTTACGGGATCCCCTTCACTTTCAAACAGAACCACTGATAAATGTTTGACCTATGAGAATGTTGAATGTTTTTTTGTTTTTGTTTTTGTTTTTGTTTTTGTTTGTTTGTTTGTTTGTTTTTATGGTTCAGCATCACACTGTGGTCTGGTTTGCAGTGTCCTGCTCAGCCCAGCACTCAGAGAAGCTCCCTTTGCTTTGGAGAAAAGAAATTGTCAACTTTTTTTCTGCTGTATTTCTAAGTGAACAACAACCAAAAAAAATGCACTGTAACATGTAACACAGGAGTCCTCCCAACATGCCTGGAGCTGGGAGGCTGGGGAGCACTATCAGTCACTCATCAGTTGCTGGGGCCTCCAGCTGGCTTACGTCCCTAGTGTCTAATGATATCATAGATCAAAAATAGCTGCAGCAGAAGAGAAATGCAGAATTCATAGCCACATATTACACATCTTTCTTTTAACCAAATCAGTCACTTTATTGCTGGGCTGTGCAAATGTTTGAATGAGTTTGCCCACATAGAAGGTAAGCTTCTAGACTTTGTACCCATTTGTTCATCCCTTCCTGTCATTAGGGACTGGGATATTTAATCTCTACATGTGTGCTTGTGGGACAGGATACTGAGCAGCAAATTCCCACGTTTCCTGACTTGAGCTCTAAGGTCCCAGCTAATATTATAAATGAAAATAAGTTCTGAGGGATCAGGTATCACTCTGCTGCACAGCTCAGCGTGGCCAGTGCAGCCTTGGTGCAGGAGTGGCTGGGTCTGGGCTCTGCTGCTCTCCAGGTTATGATGGCACCAGACAGAGAGCAAGGTCTCCCTGTGCTCCCCACTGGGCATGGGGGACAAGGAGACAATATCCAAGGCAGAGCTTCCTCCTCCGTGATAAGACATGGCAGTGTCCTGTGCAGATTGGTGGGTGCCTGGGCATGGTGATGGTGGAGGCAGGCAGGGGTGAGGGCAGATGCTGGCTTCCTGTGCCTTGCTGTCGTGGGGTTGCTAGCCTGGACCTACAGTTTGCTGGCAGAGCTACATCAGCATCATGCTTGAACTGGGACAGGAGGAAAGGCTGCTGGGGTTGGGAGCATGGGAAACATCATCAGCAATGATGTCTCCTGATGGTCACTGATTGGTTGCTGGCCAGGCCCCTGGACCTCACTTGTCCTGGAGGGAGCTGCTGGCACTTCATCAAGGTGATGTTGCCCACGCCACTTTGTCACAGTAAATGCAGCAACAGTGCCTGCAAATAGTGCCTAATTTATGATAGGAGGTTGGCCTCAGAGCCAGCATCCTGTAGGGTCACCACCCATCGTCCCATGGGGAGCCAGGAGCCAGCGGGGACCTGTGTGACACTGGAGGCCTCCCCAAGGGTCTGGGGAGAAGAGAGTCCCCAACCCCAGCCCGCAGTGGCCATCGGGCAATGATCAGTGCTGGGGGACACAGGGTGGGGTGCACAAACCCGTTGTCTTACCTGGAAAGTCAGCACAGCACTGGATGTAGGTCACCTCCACGGCAAGCTGTGATATAACAGGGTGGATCTGGGAATCTCTACAGTTCAAGCCCACAAACATTACCACACCTGGTTACTCCATGAGTGTGGGCTTTTGGGTGCTGCTTGCTCATACTCCCCGACATCCCCCACCCCAGTTCCCCTGCTGGCAGTGCTGGTAGGGAGGAAGGTCTTTATGGAGTTTCCCTGAGGAAGGAGGGAAGAGGGTCTCACTGGCTGTTATTTAGGAGCAGGCAGGAACATGTGTGGTGTACAGCACTGTGACATTTACAGTGTCATGGCCAGCAGTGTCTGGGGGAGCTGTGCCCTCCCCCCCCCCAATCAGTGACATCTGACTGACAAGGAACTGGATGCTCAGTTCCCTTCCTTCATTTTGGGAAATCTCAGCCTTTTCTCATACTTGGAAACCCTGAGTCACGTGGTAGGGGCAGATCCTTGCACTCCCCCACTGATTTCATCTCTGCCCTGGGAAGGCAGTGGCAACCAGGTTGGTCTGGGAGGCTCCCTGGTGTTTTGGGCATTCAGGTCTCCATAGCTGCAGGCTTGTTTGGTAAAATGTTATTGTGGCTCTTCTGGGTGAATCACATTGCAGAGCCTCCTGTGGCAACAACCCTCGTAGGGACTACGTGTATGGTACAACCTTTCTGCTGCATCCCAAAAGGATGGATGAGAGCCCAGATCCCGGTGCAGGAGAGCCCCAAGGCAGTGGTGCGGCCCCTTGGCTGAGGGCATTCGGGGGAGGTGGGAAAAAACATAGGGAAGAGCCTCAAAGAGTTCAAAAAGAGATCTTTAGGAGAAATAACTTTCTCGCAGAGACTTATGAGGCCAGTGGCTCCTGCTGAAAAGGAGTGCAGGAGCTGGCTGTGCTCAGCGTGAGGCAGCGGTGCAGGCGCTGTCCCACCGCGGTGGCATCTCCCCGGCCTCGTCCAGCCCTGCTGCCCCACCATGGACTCGTCACATAAGTAACAACATTTCTCTTTCCAGCCCCAGATGCCAGCTCCCTGCGGCTGTGCCGGGCAGAGGCGTTTGCAGCGCTGGGACAGCACTTGTGGGCGCTGGAAGACCTGGAAACTGTGTGCAAGGCTGAGCCTGGAGAGCACGAGGTGAGTGGAGGGGAGGCCCCATCAGCTGGCTGTGCTTGGGGCCAAATCTTACTGTACGGGAGCAGTTTCCCCCTTTCCTGAATTCTCCTAGCCATTGAATTCATCCTGCTCGGAAATACACTTGCCAGACCCATTAAGTTGCAAATCCAAGCTGGAATCACTGTGTTGCATTAACAGTAGAGGTCCAGTGCCGTGTGTGTCCTTGCTTGCATGCAGGTGATGAGGGCACGTAGCCGTGCTGGTGTGCAGGATCACAGCTGGGGGCTTGGGGAAATGTTGACTGGAGGCTGAGCTGCCCTTGGAGAAATCAGCCCTGGGAGCTTGCTTGCTGATTTGTGAAGCGCTTGTTGGCTATAGTTTTGTGGCTTCAAAGGCAGAAGACCTTGACTCATTCGCTAGGTATCTGTAGGGCTTGTTTGTTCGGCTTTGCAACTTCTGCATTTTGGAAGAATCCTGTTTTAAGGTACCTGGCTGTGGGTTGACCTGTCTTTTTTAGACCAGTCTGAGCATGGAAGCAGCAATGTGTCCGGGAGCTTTGGGCTGGGTTGGGAGCAGGCAGGATGCTGGAGGGAGATTCCCCTGGGACTCTCATGGGAGCTGAAGGGGCACGTGCTCAGCTGGTCTCATAGTCACCACAGGCTTTTCTGCTCTGCAGGGCTTCTTCAGGAAAGGGAAGGTGCTTCTGGAGATGGGACAGAAAGCTGAAGCCTTGCTGGCATGGGAACACTGCCTGACACTCAGTCCCCATTTCTACCCTGCTCGGAGAGAGATAGAGAAGGTGTGTGGGCCATACTGTGACAGGGTCCTGTGTCCTCACATGACACAGAAAGATGTCCTTGTGCTCTGAAGGACTTGTGCCCATCATGGTGGTGCTACTCTGGCCAGCAGTGGGATCAAGGGAAGTCGGGCCCTGGTCCAAGAGCCTTCCCATCACTCTGATGCAGGTTCACCCATGAAGAAAACTCCCCTTGCTCAGTCCATATCTTCAAGTCTCAGCTTTTGCAGGGTTTAGATGCTGACATGATAAGAAGTGGGCTTCGAGGCAGCATCAGTAGTCACCAAGGCAAAGCAGCCAGCTGAAAGCTGCCACTGGAGAGCCAGTGTCTTTTCTGCAGATGATTTCAGGCCAGCACCCACCCGTGTACCAAAATCACCATCAACAATGGGGCCTCCAGCAGTGTCCCCAGCATGGGGACATCATGCCATGGGTGGACACTTGCTTTTCAGGAGGGAAAGGATAGGGGTATGGGGAATGCCCTCATACCCCTCACAGCTCATTCCCTCCCTGCTCTTTGTGGGTGATGGAGAACATGGCTCCCAGCATTTAAAATAGAACATTTTGTTCACTCCTTCATGCTGCATTCTTCCTTGTGTTGCTAAGGCTTTTGTTTGTCAGAGAGCTCAGCCAGTGCTGAAACAAGTAACCCCAACATGCCCTGCAGAGAGCAGAAGTCAGCTTTGGAGAAAGAAGGAGCCTGGCAGCCCACCGACCTCCCTGCTTCCTTCTCCCAGCACCTCCTGAGCTCCACTTTCTCCTTGCAGATCCTCATGCAAGAGGATGCTCCTCAGCCACACATGGCCACTGCACGCTCAGGTAATGCTCACCAAAGCTCAGATGGTCCCCAGGTCAATGGAGGGAGCCCTGTGCTCCCACCATCTTCCACACAAGCTCAGGTAAGAGAGCCTTCAACAATCTGGGTCTGCAATGGGACTTAATGTCCCTTTGGGATATCCCAAATTGGAGTTTTCCAATGATGGTAAAGAAGGTGTGATAATGGGAGGCTGTGCAGAACCATAGCCATGTGCATGTGATTTCATGCTGGGATGAGAAGCTGCATGTAGTGGCACTGGGGAAACAGAGGAGGCTCTTTCTGTCTCCATTACTCTCCCAGTTTCATTCGGCAATAGTTCTAGTAAGATTTTAGACTCTCATTGTATTTAAAACACCTAAGTCACACTACATCCAGGAAAAAAAAATGTAGATTTTAATGTTTTTTTTCATGCAAAAACCGTATTTGAGCACAGTGCAGACCATTAGCAGCTATTAAGGAAAGTTCACCTTTTGCTCTTTGCCTTCTAATGACAAATTTGGCAGGTTTAGAGAGAGGGGAAAATCAGAGAAAATGGGCTCAGATACAGCCACATACCAGGTCTTACACCTGGACAGAGTAAACCCATGTTTTAACCACAGCAGGGATGTCTGAAGGCCACACTCTCCTGCTGTCCCACAGATGCAAGATGTTAATACACAACAACACACCAGAAAGCCTCCTGGTGCCATCAGGCTCGGTGGGACAGATAGGGCTGTGTACTCAAAGGAAGAAGAGATTTGGGGCTCAACTTCATCTTTGTTGTGCCTAGGATCAGGAGGGAGAGCTGGTGGATGGCAGAGAAGATGCTGAGTCTGATCATGTCCAGGGAGCTGCCACTCTTTCCCAGCCGGGACAATGGCAGGAGCCAGAGACTTACACAGAGAGGCAGGGCCGGTTGGTAGGTGAGTGTTGTCAAAGGTGCCAGAATATTGTCTCATACAAAATGCTTGGTTAAAGTCCATTTTGGCACCGAAAACTTGGTGTTTGCACTTTGTGCCAGCTCAATGAGCAGATATCCCAGGGGCACACGATGGGGCAGCTCTGGCCAGCACATTTGCTGCTTCTTGTGAATGTGAGGAGGATCAGATCTTCCTGTGTTGGGCTGGTGAACTTACACCAAGCTCTTGGGTCTAGCTTGGTGAAAAGTTCTTGCTAAAACCAGACATCACTTGTTCCCTGTGTGGAGTCAGGGAGAGGGTCCCTTTGGTTCCCATGGGTTTAGATGGGTTTAGATTTAGATTGAATTCTCTTGTGCAGGACATGGCATGCCATGTGTTGGGGAAGCAGTACCTCCATTGGCATTAACTTGCCATCATTGTCCAGCCAGATGGCTGCCATGTATGTGCGTCTGCATAGAGGTGATGATGACTCATGTCAGGTCTCCAGAGACCTCCACCTGGGAGCTTCTTAGGCCACTTCACTTCCCAGTGCCTCAGTTTCCCTGCCTGCAAAAGGATGTGGAGAGGTACCCTCTTCCTCTGCCAAGTAACATGAGACCCACTGATGTAAAAGCTATGGATAAACACAGATGGGTTAATAGAGTTTATGTAGCATTTCCTAGTGCTTTTGTTTTTAACTTTCAAAGCACTTTGTGTAGCAGTTTGCTACTTACACCTCAGAACAAGGTCAGAAAGCAAAGATTAATTTTCAGTATTGAAATGGGGGATTGTCTTATTTTTTCTTCTCTTTTGCCACTAGATAACAAAGAAGAAACAGCAGCAGCAAACTCTACCCAGCCGTGCCTCAGGGAGCTGCTAAGCATATCTGACTTCGAGTGCTCCCTCTGCATACGGTGAGTTCTCTGGCAGGAGTGCTTTTAGGATGAAGAAGTAGTTTCCTGGTGTGGATCTTTCTTCACATCTTAATAGCAAACTCAGTCCCCAGTACTGCTGAAACACAGGTTTCAGTAGAGATGAGATAAGAGGGGAAGACAGGGACATGCTTTGCTCTGCCAGGCTGTAAGAGCTCAGGTCGCCCTGTCTCAGGGCCCAGCGTCGTTAGGTCTGTATTGCCTGGGACATCGGTGTGGAGGTGGGGGTGTTCAGTGGGGTCAAAGACCAAAAGGGGTGGCTGCCTTTTGTAACTGCAGGCTGGAAGAAGAAGATGTTGCCCCAGGGAAATGCCATCCATGATGGGGGTATTGCAAACCCAGAGAGGAGCGTTTCAGAGCTCTGTGCCTGCTGGAGGTGAAGGGGGCAGGGTAGAGCCCATGTCTGTCTGCTGACTCAGGGCTGGGGAAGGGTTGGGTGCTGCCACAGAGCATGCTGAAACCAGGCTGTTATTTCTGGTGTGTACCAGGACCTCCAGCAGTTGTGAAAGCGGCTGCTGGCAGAGAGCTGGGTTGCACCACCAGACGTGCAAGATAGTCAGGGTCTCCTGTATGGCAGCTTTTTTCAGGTCTGAACACGGCGTGGGGAAATAACACATGAGAGAGAGAGAACAGGGCTGTATTTGGTCAGAATTAGGTGAATTTAGGTCTCTTCTGACAGCATGGAAACATAATGTTCAGGAGGAGTTGGGGCTCAGTGCTGAGCAGGGCTTTCCTGAGACCTTCATTTCATTGCTGATCCTGGAGCTACCTGTGAGTAACCCAAGTTCTTGCTGCTGGCTCTGCTCATGGAGCAGGGGAGAAGGAGGCACTTTCCCATTGCTGCTTTTTGGGATACACACCACTGTGGGTGTCTGGGGAACCGCAGCCCTGCCAGGACCAAGAGGTGCCATGTATGTACTGGTGGAGTCTGCAGAGACCCTGAAGGGACGGGGAGCAGTCCTCAGGCCTGGGACAGTTCTCATCTTACATCACTGTTCAAGTCTAACAGTCTGAGCCCAGTCTTCTAATTAAAGGAATAAGCCAGTTAGGAAGCTTTACATTTAATTAACAGGAGTTATGAGCAAAGATTAACCAATGCAGCTTTAGTGAAGGCAAGTTTCATAGCTGTGGGCTGCCAGGGCTTGGAAGACACAGTGTGAGATAGCTTTCCATGGCATTGCATCCCTGCAGCATCACTGTCTTCAGTGCAGAAGGCTGGTGAAGGCAGCAGATATCCCTTGAAATGGTAGGAGAGGACATGGGAAATGTCTTGCTCCTGCTGGAAGTGAAATCTCTTGCTCTCAGCAAGGTGATTCAAGGAAGATGCAGGTACAAGTCTGGAGATATCCAGAAGCTGCACCCACGGCTTTGTTCACCCTAACCTGCTTGGACCCTTGCAGCAGCAGCAGCCTGGGCCTCTGCAAGTCCCTGAGCGCTTTGTGGGACCCCTGTGCCATGGGGCTGAGACCAGCTGGGGTTTCCAAAGCAGGGTGCTGAGCCAGGCCTGAGGAATGACAATTCTGAGGGCACCCAGCCCTGTGAACAGAGGCTCTGCGATCCCTATCTCTGTTGGGCTTACCTGTACTCCTCCCCCCGTGGTGCTCTCTGTGGCCCGTTGACTTTGATCCCTTTACAGGATGTTCTTTGAACCAGTGACGACGCCGTGCGGGCACACCTTCTGCAAGGAGTGCCTTGAACGCTGCCTGGACCACCGGCCCAACTGCCCCCTCTGCAAACAGAGCCTGAGAGAGGTGGGGGCATGTGTCCTGTGGGAGGGAGCCCAAGGGAGAGCTGGGGACCAGCTCTACCTGCTGTGGGGGTGGCAAGGTGTGATGCTCACGTGTTAGCAGCTCCTTGGCATGGCAGCATCAGCTCGGCTCATGTGGGAATGACCAGACAGTTGATAATTAAGACCAAGATACTAATTTCCACAAGATGCCACAGTGATTTAGTGAGATAGTAAACAGGACTGAGATGTAGAGAAAGAGAGAGAAAGAAAGAAGTGAATGCTAATTACTTTAAAAAATGGAAATAGATAGAAAACCTGCTAGCCTGGAGATTTGATTTAATTTTTAATGAAAAGAGATCAGATGAGACCATCAGGGAAATTAGGTTGTCATACAAGGACTGCATCACTGTCAGAGACAGGACGCTGCGCTGAATGGGCCCTGGGTCTGAGCTCCGTCCAGAAGTCTCAGTGGAGCTGATATCCCATCCTGCTGGATGACTTGACATCCCCCAATAGGTTTTATCCCTGACTTTCTCTAATCTAAAATTACCCTCAGCTCCAATAAAAGTGAGCATGATTCAGAGCCCAGCAGGGCCTGTGGCCTCCTCCCGCCACCCCCCCCTCCAACCTAATTCTGGGTCTAATTTCTTTTAGTACCTGAAGGCTGGAAGCTACAGCCCCACCGTGCTGCTGCAGGACATCATGCTGGCCACCTTCCCTGCACAGCTGGCTGAGCGCCGGGAGCTGCACCAGGCTGAGATGGCAGAGCTCTCCAAGTAAGCAGGGACCTGCTCTGGCGTGTGTGCATGTGCGTGTGCATGTGCGTGTGTGTGCGTGCATGGGGGCTGGGAGGGGCTCTGAGGGGGCTGTCCACACCACATACCATTGCTCTGGCTTGGGGTTGCACAACTGATGTCTGTCCCACTTCTAGGACCATGTCACAACAGTGCTGGGTGGGTGTGGATGTGCCCCACTGGGCACCTTGGGGTGAGGGAGCATCTCTGCAAGGAGCTGTTTGGTGGGCAGGGTCTGTCCTTGGGCTCTTGGTGAGCCAAGTGGAAGCTTTGATGTTGCTCTCCACTGGAGCATCACTTCCTGGGGTAAAGGACAGATCTGGTTTTAGGAGTGGCCATGGCACAAGCCGATGCAGAGCCCTTGGGATTTTCTCCGGGAGGTTTCACAGTGGTCTCTCCTCTTGTCCTTCAGCCTGACCAAGAACATCCCCATCTTCGTCTGCACGATGTCCTTCCCAGGCATCGCCTGCCCTCTGCACGTCTTCGAGCCTCGCTACCGCCTCATGATCCGGCGGTGCCAGGAGACTGGCACGAGGAGGTTCGGCATGTGTATATATGAGAATGGGAAAAGGTGAGCTCCTGGGCAAGGCGGCTTCCCTCTGCCCTGGCTGATTTGCTCCTCTCTGTCTCAGCCCCAGATGTCTAAAATCCCCAGTAGTTTGGTGAGAAGGAACCAGGTGTAATTTTCTATCCCACTGCACCCCACCGATAAAATCAGCTGGGAGGTGATGTGTTCCCCACATGGCACAGTGAAATGGGATCTCACTGCCTCCCTGCTTCACCGCTGGCCAGGCAAGGAATGGGGCCAGTGTTGGAGCTGGGCCGAGCCAGCAGTGGCTGTTAAATACAATGGTCTGGGAACAGCTTCTGGCTCAGGACGTCTCTGAGCTGCATGGTTCTCTGGCTGTGACATCCAGGTCCTCTTAGTGAGCACTTCAAAATTACCGTATTTCTCATACTTTGTCCTTAATAAGCTGTGAGAGGACACTGAGATAAAGAGGATTTTGTCTGGTGCAGTGTGGCCATCCTTATGTTCCTGGTGGCACCTCCAGATCTCGTGTGAACTCAGCCTCCAGGCTCCTAACCCAAGTAGTCTCTTAAATATCTGTATTTACATGATATATCCTCCCTGTGCTCCAGTCCTGTTCAAGTGAGATCAGGTAAATAACATTTTCTGGGCTTTGTGAGGATGACTCTGCAAGGGATGGTGTCTTCAGGACCACTGGACATCAGGACAGTATGAGGACCTAAGTCATTTTGGTATATGGCAAACCCAGGGGAGTGCAGGCAGTGTGCTCGCTATTCCCTGCCCTCTTAGCAGCAAATAGTAACTCAACAGAGTTGAATGACTGTCTGAATTTTCCCCCCTGCCAGCCAGCTTGTTCCTGGGCCTTCTTCTCCTTTGGAGATGGTGCCTTCCGGAGAAGCAGCTCTCTCACCACCAGTATTCCAGCTCAGCCCCTCTTTTCTCTCTCTGTTTCCCTCCAGTTTTGCTGACTACGGCTGCATGCTGGAGATACGGCAGATCGAGCTGCTGGCGGACGGGAGGTCCTTGGTGGACACCATCGGCAGGCGGCGGTTCCGCGTGCTGAGCCGCGGGCACAGGGACGGCTACAACACTGCAGACATCGAGTACCTGGAGGACAAGAAGGTGAGGGCAGGGCCAGGGCAAAAGCCCCCGCTGCGGTGGGACAGAGCCTCCCCACGGACACCTTCTACGCTCCTCTGCCTTCCACGCAGGTGGCTGGGGAGGAGCTGCAGGAGCTGCAGTGCCTGCATGAAAACACCTACCGCTTGGCTCAGCGGTTCTGTGAGCACGGAGACCTTGCCTCCAGGCACATTCTGATGCATCAAGGACCGCTGCCGGAGAAGGAAGAGGACATCCAGGTAATGCCCCGAGGGAAGGGATGCTCTAAATAGAGAGGGTACGAAGAGAGCCTCTGAAGCAGCACTGTTCCTGCCCTAACCACCCTGATTCCCTGCTCAGCTCAGCCCTGAGACGAGCAAAACAAATCTGGTTTTCACTCTCATTAGCACTTATGGCATCTCTCACTCAGAGATGGTAGGGATTGTTTGTTAAGACCGTTCAATGTTTCTTTATAGTTTTAAACTGTTTTGGAAACTGAGCACTGAGTTTGAAAGCTTTCCCCGGAGTCTTTTCTTAAATGAGAACTGAGAAACTGAACTGTCTAGATTTGAAAACACTTGGGAAAAAAACCTGAACAAACAAATGGGCAAAGAAATGAACCCCACAGCTCAGTGAGTCTGAGGTCTCCTTTCTCATTGTGTTCCTTTGAGACAGCCATAGCTGGCCAGAGGAAAGGAGTTAAGAGGGCAGGATCCAGTTTGCTTATTAAATTGCTCTTACAAATTCATATTCTAAAAAAAAATATATAAAAATCCCCAAATGTAGTTTTCGCTCCTTTAAGAAAGTGTCACCTGTCTGGATTGTTACAAATATGCTCTTGCTGGCTTGTCCCGAGCTAAGGCTGCCCTAGCCAGCAATTGCATCAATACTGTGCTCAGAATTACAGAACAACTCATCCTCTATCAGCTGAATCAAACATTTCCCTCTTAGTTTGGCTCAGGTTTTAAAAAATCTGGTTTACAAATGCAAAAAGCTGGTTTACAAAAGCACTGCACAGTGGTTGTGCCTGCCTGGCCTGCACCTTGCCTCTTTGAGTGTTGTTAAAACAAATGCCCCAGAAGTCACTGACCATGCAGGATTTGGCCCATTTTTACAAAACCCATCACCTTAATCAAGGAAACACACAAGATATTTCTTTGTCTCTTTAGTATAGATATTTTCCCGGTTACATCTTGTGTCTGGAGACTCCCTGGGGAATGCTCGTCTGGAAATTAAATTAGTTTACCCAGCAGTTTTGAGCCTGGACAGACAAAAGGGCCGTTTAGAGGAATACCTTAGCCAAAGCTGACATTGCCATCCTGACAAGAGCAAATGTTTCCCATCGGCGATGCTGCCCAGAGGCCAAGCATTCACCTTGCAGTTCCTGATGTGGGGGTCTGTCCCTCTCTCCCCTCCAGGCTTCGGCAGATGGCCCGACATGGTGCTGGTGGCTCATCTCCATCCTGCCTCTTGACCCGTCCTACCAACTGAACCTCTTCTCCACCACCTCCCTGCGTGCCCGCCTCATGCAGCTGCAGCGCATCCTCGCTGCCCTGCTGCAGCAACCCCCCGCCAGGCACCCGCTGCCCGAGCACAGCCCCCGGGGCCGCGTCTGAGACCCCCAGCCCCCTCCCTCTCTGCAGGGGAGACCTCCACCCCCTTGAGTTTCTCTATGTGCTGCTTCATGGTTTTGTGTATAGTTTGAGCCCCCCCCGCCCCCAATCAGCCTTGGAGATGAGCTGAGCACCCTCTGCCCGGCTCAGCGGGGTTGATGCCACACTAGCAGCACCACTACACCGTCCATGCCACCTCTGGCAGTTGCTTGGTGACACGGCTGTACTGTGCTATCAGAGAGGGGACCACGATGGAAAGCTGGGTTGTGTCTTGGGAACCAAAGTCACCTGCCGAGCTCCTTCAGCGCTAAGGAGAATTCTCCTTAGGGCAGAGGACCAAGTGCCAGGATCACCTCTTCCTCTTTGAAGGACAATGTAGGGTTTTTAGTAGATAGTCCTGCTCTGTGCAGCAGATTTTCAGGCTTGGGAGAAGTGGCACTGGGAGGTAAAGAAGTTCCAACGGCTTCCCCCAGCCTCAGGAGCTGAAGGCTCTGCCTCTGCTTACGAGTTTGACTTAATTTCTATTCAAACAAGAAGAAAGGTTAAATTAAACAATACAAAACCCACAGAGCAGCTCATAACCATCTCCATGGCCACACAGTGAGGAGATGCTGCTCCTCTGAATGTGCCCAGGTCAGGCTGTCCCCTTCCCATCACTCTGCTCAGTGTTCTGCTGTGTTTACTGCGCTAAGCTTGCCTGCCGCTTCCCCAGCTGGCGGCTCCACTGCCATGAAGTGCTGTGGAAAGGGCAGGATTTGGCAGCCTTCGTGCTTTTTCCCCCACCCAAAGGCTGCTGTTCCCAAGCCTGGCTGGGTTTAGGTTGTGGGATCAGACCTGTGGGCTGGAGGGAGCCAATGGCACAAGGGAGTCAAGCCTGGAAGGGGCTTTGTGAGACTTGAATAGTGCAATTTTCCTATGTTCAGTGTTTATTCTGAACTTTCTGCCTCCTCAGGAGAAAATCAGGGTCTGAGTAGGGGCCAGATCCTTGCATGTGGGACCCAGAACTGTTCAGGATTCCCCGAAACAGCACAGAGTGATGTCAAAGGGAGTTGAACCTCTGGAGAGCCAGGGAGGGGGCAGGACCAGTGACTGAGGCTGTGAGCCCCATGACAGGGAAGCAAGTGCCTGTCTGCAAGTGTCCGGCTACTGCTTGTCTCTAAACACAGAGAAAAGAGTATCCTCCTGGACAGCCCAGGCTTTCCGTCATGGAAATCCTGAAGGTTTGGGATCATCCATAATTTCAGTGGCTTTGGGTTGAATTTTAGGAGTGATACTCACTTAGTGAGTTCCTGGATTAGCATTGCTTCCAGAATTTTATCTCTGCTTTTCCCAAAGGCTCCACATCCCATCTGGGGGCTCAGGGGGCTGTTGGATATATGGGTGGGAGAGAAAATCAGGTTGGGGCTACAGTACTCTTTGCTGCACGTATTGCTGGGCTGAGCCTGGGTCAGGAGGCTCTGGATACAGCTCTGGAGGGGTCCCTGCCCAGGGCCACTGCTTTTTCCCATCCTTCTCTCTCCAGGAGTGAGAGGTCTCGGTCCCTCCTCTCCAGCAAAGTGCCTCCCCAGAGTGACAGTTGGCAGGAGCCAAGGGCTTGCTCCCCAGGGACCACAGTGAGCACAGGGCAGCTGAGGACAACTCAAAGCTGGATTTGCTCCTCTACCTTTGAGCTATGTCCTCCCCCACTTTGCTGCTCGCTCTGGGGCACCGTGACTTCCCCAAGGGATTATATCCCCAGGGTGTTGGATTGGGGTGGGCAGAGATAGGCGATGGAGGGAAACCTCACAGTGCTGGTGAGGGTGCATGCAGGTGGCAGGATGCCACTGAAGTTTGGGAAGTGCCTTTCTTTTCCACGGGGTCAATGTGAGCTCACCCAGTGGACCCCCCCACTCGGAGCTGTGCACCTAACTCCCAGGTTGGCTGTTCTCCAGGTCTGGGAGCTCCCCGGGCTGCTGCGGGTCCCTGCAGCAAGCAGGAGGCATGGGGGGATGCAGGGGAGAAGCGTGGGTCTGCACCATGTCCATGCTGCAGGAGAGACGGGGACCAGAGCCACATCTGCCTGGTTGCTTTGGGAAGGGACTTGTGCAAGTCATTCCAGTTTGCTTGGAGTGCCTTTGGGGTTTGTATTAGTATCTTCACTCTTTGAATTAAATTTTCTTCCTGGTCATTGAAATAAAGACCTTTTTCATTATTGTTTTTTTCTGTTGCTGGTATTTAACTTTTAGCTGCTCATTGATGAAAGTGCTTGGACATCACCAGGGAGCTTTGGGAACATATGGAGAGGTGACACTGTCCTTCAGACAGCAAGTTAGACACAGTGAAGGCAGTCCAGCAAAGGCAGATGGCAACAAGGGGAAAAATTAAGGTGGTTTTGCTCCAAGAAAGTGAACATGTGAAATAAGGGCAAGAAGGGAAATTTGTCTGCCCAGCTCTGTTTTTCACCCTACCTGGGAAACTGGAACAACTGTAGAATAGGAGAGGGCTCAAGTGGTCTGAGATGGTGGATAGCCCTAAAAATGACCCATTCCTCAGAGCAGGGTCTCTGCCAGGTCATTAATAACTGGCTTCATGAAGAATTATACCCTGAAATTCACCCCCAGCAACTCTCTACAGAAACAGTAAAGACCAGCTGTGTGCTGTGGCCGATGCCAGCACCTTTGGTGGCTCTGGCAGCCCAGGTCTTGTGTCAGTGAGGTGACTAGTTTGTGTCTGTGTGTCCAGGAGTCTGGAGCTGGCACCAGATTCCTTTGCCGTGCTGTCCTGCTCCCACTAGATGTCAGGAAGAGGCTGAGTGCAGGCGAGGAGGAAGGCACAGAGGAGGGAATGTGTAGCATCAGCCTCTGCCAGCACCTTGGCCATGCTTTTCTCACCTCCAGCCCCCAAAGCAGCCCCGCTCTCAGCACTTGCCCAGGCTGGGCTGCCTGGAGCTTTCCATCAGAACAGAAGTGAAGCTGGGGACCAGTGCAGGGTGTCACTTGTGGCCACCTCCAGTTCCCCAAGCACACAGGGTCTGTGCTGGGAGATACTCTCTCCACTCCGGCCAGCAAGGACTTGTCTTGGGACTGGAGCAGGGGACTGGGGCAGCTGGGGGATTGTCCTCCTGTCCATCCTCCTCCAGCCACTCTGCTGGGCATGGCCTCAGAGATGGGACGTGAAGAAACCCTTTGTCCCAGTACACAGCTGGGACAGAACAGCATCCCACGGGACTTTGTGAAAGCAGACCAGGCATCTCTGAGCCCCACTGGGATGACAGGTTGTTTCACTGAGCAGTTGGGATCTGGGTGGGGACAGCTCAGAAAGACTCAGCAACTTCCACACTGCCACCTTCCCAACCCTGCCCCAAATATCTGCCTGCGTGATGGGACCCCAGTGTCCTCACCATCAGGTGGGACTGTGAGGTGAATGTTGGGCTCATTACTAGCTTCCACCAAACCATCCCCTCCTGTTCTACTCTTCAAGGTCCATTTTGGGCAGCTTTTGGTCCCAGGCTGCTACAGCCTGACTCTGTGGGGACACAGAGGACCTGTGGCAGCCAGAAATGGCTCTTTCCTCATTTCCAAAGGCTCCTGCTTCACCTTGTCCTCCACCACGGGCCTGCAGAGAGGCTGGATCTGATCCTGCTTGGCACAGTTGGGGCTGGCAGCTACAGGCACCTCCAGCCTCTCTGCCCCAGGCTTGGCAGTGCATGTGGCAGCTTCACCCCCAAATCAGCAGCCAGAGCCATGGGGTGATGAGTCTGTCTCTGCGTAGGCTCCTTGGTGGCACTCAGGACTTGTGGGGAGTTATGTTTCTCAGTCCCACAGCACAGGAGACCCTGACTGCCTGTGCCACTGCACTTTGTTTCCTGCTGCTTGGATTTGTTTCCTCCCTTTATTTTTCCTTCTCTGTGTGTGCTCCTCTGTGCATCCCAACGACACCTAGTAATGATTTCTGGCCTTTATATAACACTCTTTATTGGAGCTTTTCAAACAAATGTCCGTATCCTTCTATGGATTTTGCAGGCAGGAGCCAAGGGTGGGAAGAGGCAACGTGTTGCCCAGGGTCACCCAACAAAGTCCCTGGTAGTCAGGAGGCCACTCTCCAAACGGGTGTCTCTTTCCACCCCATCCAGCCCCCACCTCTGTGGATGCTGGGACGTATCCTGCATCTGTGTTATACATCCCTGAGGAGGTGTAAACCAGCACTAGCATTGGCCCTGCTTCCATCACCGCAAAACTTGACCTCTTCTCCATCAGCATCATTTCCTCCCTTCCTATTTGGCACCTTCAACTCGAGACATCAGTGACAACTTCCCTCACCTAATAGTGTGGGCAAGCAATTAGCTAAAGAGGCATGTAATTAACACAGCAGGAGTTAGGCAGTGTCTTGTCTTTCTTTAACAAATGGCACATTTCCAAACTAATTAGACCAGCCAGTACTTGAGATAGCAGAAAATCAACATGAGATTGTTCAAGCTAAGATCTTCTTCTCTAGCAAGGCCACGCTTGCACTGGAAGAGGAGAGCAGTACGTGTTAAGGTTAATAAAAGTGGGAAGAAAATGGAGAAAACCAGCACCTAATGTTTTTCATCTTTTAGAAATACTGGTTGATGCAATGAAAGATGGATTGTATTGTTCCTGCTTTTTCAAAAATATAAAAAGGGAAGTAATGAAAGCAGATGTGACGTCTCAAGAAAACTCACCCATGGGATTTATTCAAAGCTGGAAAATGACAAGTGTTGAAAAAAATGACTCAAAGACACTGCCAGAGCAGTTGGAGTGGGACCTGCTTGTCCCCCTGGAGAAATGGCCCCATCTCTTCCTTCAGCCCAGTTGTGCCTGGTGTGAAATCAGACTCTCTCCTGTCTGAGCAGAGCAGGGTGACTGTGGACATGTGATGAAGGTGACCTGGAGCAGAGATCAAGTGGTAGCTGGACAAATGTCTTTGCCTTCCCTTCAGTGGCATTTTGGAGATGCCTTGCTGGCACGTCCCCAGGCTGTGCTGCACAAGGGAGCTGTGCAAAGCCAAGCCCTGATCCAAGCAGGAGCAGGAAACCTGGGAAGATACATCAGGTGGAGCTGGCTCATCATGACCAAGGGTCATTTGTACCTTTAGTAAACAGATCTACTGGGATAGGCTTTTCCTACGGGCTTTATAAAACCCATTTGGTCCCATCACACCAGCAATGTCACCAACCTGCAGCTGAAGAGCCCCGGATTTGGGGCAGCCGTAGGGAGCTGCCTCCCAGCCCTCCCACACTGCCTGATTCGGGGCCACCTTTCAGCCCCCCCAGGAGCACCTCCACACCCAGGGTGTGACTGTCCCCAGTCCCAGGACAGTGGCACACCTGAGGCTGATCACGAGGCAGGAGGTGCAGAGTTACCCCCAGCACCGCTCTGTCCAAGCCCTGCCATGGCAGAGTCCAGGTGGGACCATGTCCCTGGGTAGCACAGTAATGCACAGACCCATCACCAATGTTAACGACTCTCTTAGGGGGCTATCAAAGTCTCAGTGAACACCAATTAGCTTCAGTCCAGATGTGTAGGATTGTAAGAGTCTGAGCTGGCAGCCGGGAATGGGGAGACATTTGCTGCAGTGGGTGGGAGTGATGGGCACTGCCTGCTCAGGGAGGTCTCCCTTGGCACAGGGCACCCAACCAAAGCAAACCTTAACAAAGCAAGACATCACCAGTACTCAGTTGGAGCATGTCAGCTTGCGGAGAGGAGGAGATTATATAGGGCCCTATATATATATATATGAACTGGCCCCTTGCCTGAGTCTTTGCCCACAGTCCATGTTCTCTCAAGCACCCACCAGTGATTCAGTCTCTCCCTGCCCTGTGCCCTCCCTGTTGATTTCTGATTTCACAAAACCGTTTCAGCCCAGGCAAAATATTTACAGGACTGATTAAACATTGAGGAAATGGGAAACTTGTTAAAAGCCTGGAACTTATATAAATACAGCATTATTAAAATAAAATGTGACTTTTAGCAAGGACAGCTCTCTCAGCTGTGCTGTGTTTACCTTAATTGTTTCCCTCCATTAATTACAGTCTGAGAGGGAGACTTGTGCAAATTGAAATAAATTAATCGAATTTGTTTAGAGTTTTGTGTGGCTGGCTTGTGGGGATTGCAATTAAGCCAGTATGTTTGGGGTATTAAATTACATTGCCTAGATCTGTTCTTCCCTTTTCAAGCACCAGGAATGTGAAAAGACAGGAGTCAGTGACAATTAGAAGATAAACAGGCAAGGCGAACAATGGTTATTTTAGCTCCCGTGCCTCAAGAATTTCACTTCTTGCAAGTATTAAGGCTCATCCCTTAATAAATGCAGCCTGGCTTTGTGCAATGAAAGACAAAGAGGAGATGGTGGAGTGGAAAACAGGGAACATCTAAGCTCTGCCCTGGCAGTGGAAAGAGAGACATGGGTGGGAGTTTAGTCTGATTCTCCAGGAAAATTAGGCTAAGTGACTCAGCAGCCTCGAGTGCACTCTTGCTGGTTCCCACTAGCAGCTGCCCAGTACCACCCACATTTGACCCAGGGGAAAAGGATTCCAGATATATCCAGGTCCTGACAAGGTCTGTGAAAACAGGCAATGAAAGAGAGAAAAGAAATGCATCTGCTAATGGGGAGGGGAAGGGGATGTTCCACCCTTATTAGACACCAGAGAATCCACACCACAGTCTTTTTCCAGGAAGGTATTTAAGAGGAAACCTGGCTTCACTGGTGCTGTCCATGAGCCAACCTGCTCTGCCCTTGTCCCAAACCAGCCAAAGGAAGTGGGCTGTGTGGGAGTTTGCTCTGAGACCCTCTGGCCACTGGAGAAGCACAGCTGAACTTCAGGAGGAATTTCAGCACAAAGTAAAGAGAAAGGCGTTGTTTCTGACCTGGAGAAGATGGAATTTTGGGGAGAGGAAAAAGAAAAAATCCATTTTTTTTTCTGTGGAACTGTGCTGCCCACCCGAAGTGACTCCTCAAAGATGATGCTTGCAGCCCTGCCTTGGGCAATGGGGCCAGGCAGGAGGTGAGTAGGGTACACCAGAGCTGCATGGGTACACAGAGACCCAGGGAACCTGCTGTCCAGAGACACAGCCAAGACCTAAGGTGCTTCATTCCCCCTCTTCTGCCTTGTGGCTCATTTACCAAATCACAGAGGGTTCAAAACTTAACTCCTGTCACTTCTCTACAGATCGTGCTCCCTCCCCTGCTGCTCT